GCTTAGCTCAAGGAGGACTTTCCGGACCAGAACCTGAAATGGAACTTCGTTCGTAAGCAGCTACTGTTCTATCGAGAGCAAAAGCAACAGAAAGTGCCAACTACAGCCATGGAGTGGGGACGCAAACGAAAGCATTGCGGGCGTGAACCAATCAAGTTCACACCTGAAGTGGCACAAGCGCTAATCAAGATCAACAACGAGCACTGGGGTCAGCTCTCTTTCAAGCGTCTTGCTGGTAAACTAGGCGAGCAGGGAACTAAAGCATCGCCAGTAACAGTCCGCAAGTGGTGCAGAGAGTTGGGAATGGTTCGGAGGAGGCGATATATCAAGCCCAAACTATTTCTGACTCACCGCGTGAATCGACTGCAGTTTGTTCTGAGTCAGATCGACAAGCGCTCTGCGAAATTCACCAATCTCGAAGACATCGTTCATGGCGATGAGAAGTGGTTCCTACTGATGAAGGATGGCCAGGTGAGCCGTGTCTTCCCGGACAAAGATGGCAAGTATCAAGTCCCTGCAGCGCCGAAGCTCTATCACAAGTCAAGGACACCGAAAATCATGTTCCTTGCAGTGTGTGCCAAGCCTCGCAGTGAGTACGGCTTCGACGGGCGCATTGGCCTTTGGAGCTTCATGCTTGAACGCCTAGCGAGGCGCAGTGACATCCATACAGGAACTGTAATGGGCGAAACAATGATGCTGCAGGATGTGACCGTGGACGCGAAAGCCTACCGTGAGAAGCTCATCACAAAAGGTGGCGTGTTTGATGCGATGAGAACGCGCATGTGGTGGTTCCACAAGGATGCGAGATACCGTACGGAGGATGGTGTACGCGTTCCATGTGGGTCACTCGTGTCTGGCAAGTGGAAGTTCACCAAGACTGGTACACGCTGCCCAGAGGCCGGTGAAGTGCTGCACTATCAGCACGATTGAGCAAGACCACACACTGAGCGCGTGAACACGCAGCTGTTTCGATCCCACGGCGCAATGAAAGGGTTGCGGATTCAAGTTCTTGTTCAGCCGGCACAAAGCCCTGATTTGAATGTCGACGACCTCGCATTCTTCAGGAGTCTGCAGACCGACGTGAGTCTCGTAGCCAAGGAAAATCGGCGGGACTTGCTAGCCGCTGTCACTCAGTGCTGGGAGGATTATCCGGCCGATAAAATGGAATCGGTTTGGCTCTGCCTGTACGCCTCATCTCCGTATGTAAGCGTACGTCGTCTGCTGCATAAAAGCGGCTGCGCATTTCTGTTTTGATGAAGATTAGATTAGATTAGATCAGATTGGATAGCAATGAAAGCTAACTCGAAGAAGAAGGATTCAACCTCTAGGTGAGCACCGGAGAGAAAGTTATTTATTTTGCCGCTTCTTCTTTCATTAACAATTATATCTCAGGTGTGTACCTGAAAGTAGAATAAAAGTAATTCTTGTTGATTTCACCGCGCCTACCACTCGGCTACCCATTACATTGGTGGCAGCGGTGGGATTCGAACCCACGCCTCCGGAGTTACGTCGCGCAAAGCGATGCTATCCAATCTGATCTAATCTAATCTAATCTTCATCAAAACAGAAATGCGCAGCCGCTTTTATGCAGCAGACGACGTACGCTTACATACGGAGATACACTAAATATACATCAGGCAAGCTCCGTATTAGTTCCGTACTGCTTCCGTATTGGTCGGGCAGGGATACTACACCCTCCCTTCCTACAGATAGTCACGCCCTCGTGATTCTCAAAAATTAGTGAAGAGTTATGAACAACAGCGTCACCCGGAAGATGGCAAATTATATCGGAAATGATAACGTTTAGAGTAGACAGAAGAAATGAACTGATAACAAATCATAAAGTAGAAGCACATCAGGTTCACACGATCTCACGGGGTCAAAAGGGGAAAGAACTGTCCTCCAAATAGGACCTGAAAAACTACAGCACTCTTGCTGCACAACGCTGGCACAACCCGCCAGGAACATCGCAGTTCAAAACCGAACTGAACACACTATAACTATAAGGGGCGTTGTCACACACATTGTCCCACGTTAGCTGGGTAAGCCGTGGCTCACCATGATCAGACGCCTACCAAACTAAACTGGATTCACACACTCGCATAAAGGAAGACTGAAAAGAACAGGGAGACTGAAGGAAGACAGGAAAGAAAATGCCATACCTGGAATCAGCGTTAGTAACCACGGCAGCGGCTGGAGCTATGGCGGAGGGCGAGCCAGGTTTTTTTCTTCATCTTGGTTGAGCCGGTCACTCAGAGCGGCTAGCTCGGCGTCAGACAAATGACCTCCCTCCTCGTCTTGAATCATGGTCTTCACATTGTCGATAGCATCGAGTAAAGAGTGATGGTCGAGCCAGGAAGATTGTTGACGAAAATCTGCATCCCACCACGGAGGCGAAGTACCAAGTGAATAGTGGACTCCTGCTGAACGTTGTAGTCACTCAGGGTTCGGCCGTCTGCCAACTGCGTGCCGGCGAAAATCAAACGCTGCAGCCTGCATGTCGTCGTTCTCATCAGCTTCGCCATCACCACCGGTAGTATACATGTAGGTAGCGGGTCGCTTGGAATCGCCATCGGAGTCTCCAATGGATGCCGTGCGGAAAGAATGATGATCCACGTTAGCACCCTGACTGTGCTGCAGGCTAATAAGCATGGCCAGGCCCAGGAAAGCATGAAACACGATTCTCATCTTGATTCGTCGCACGGAGCTGCAGCGGGTTGAGCTATGGGGGTCTGGGGTCGAATCACGTTGTTTTATTTTACAAAAACACACCGCTGCCACCAATGTAATGGGTAGCCGAGTGGTAGGCGCGGTGAAATCAACAAGAATTACTTTTATTCTACTTTCAGGTACACACCTGAGATATAATTGTTAATGAAAGAAGAAGCGGCAAAATAAATAACTTTCTCTCCGGTGCTCACCTAGAGGTTGAAATCCTTCTTCTTCGAGTTAGCTTTCATTGCTATCCAATCTGATCTAATCTAATCTAATCTTCATCAAAACAGAAATGCGCAGCCGCTTTTATGCAGCAGACGATGTACGCTTACATACGGAGATACACTAAATATACATCAGGCAAGCTCCGTATTAGTTCCGTACTGCTTCCGTATTGGTCGGGCAGGGATACTACACAAGAAACCACCTAAAGGGCAAGGAAAATACATGTAAGAAGAAAAAGGCAATGGAAAAAAGATGATTCGAATCATCTTTTTTCGATTGCCTTTTTCTCCTTAGATGTATTTTTCCTTACCCTTTAGGTGGTTTCTTCCATCGTCTCCATCGCTTAAATTGTTAATAAAGTAATCCAAATGTCGCTTCAGCTCGTCCTACTTATTGCCATATTAAAATTATTGTCTCCTCGTCGAATTTTTAAGTAAAATAAAAATAAAAATAAAACGGCATTATGCATTAGTCACCGCTTTAGGAGCTGCATCTGCGCCTTGTATATATTTTTTGTATTTACATCATTATCTCATGGCACATCATGATGACGGCCAGTAAAACTGAGACAAGGGAGAAAGCCAACCACAGCAGTAAAACAGATAAAAGAATAAAAATAGGAGGCCTTGATCCTTGAAGGGTGGTGGCGTTCCTACTGATGCGGAAAACTCGGCCTCTATAGAGAAGCCGAGTCTGACGCGAAACGTGATTTTTTTATTTTTTTATGCAGCTGTGTAAGTAGTAGACGCACAGTGTGATTGCCAGGCATCTCTGTCAGATGCAAATGGCAATTCTCATGCAGAGACATACCAGACCGTATTCGTCTAAATTTTGAAAAATTCAGACAACAGAAAAATTGTCGTTCACCAATCACCATACCTACCATGTGATTGCCGCATGGTTTTCAGCCATCCGGCAGGATTCGCAAATTTCCCAAAATCGATGCCTTTATATCCTGTCGAATAATCTTTGATAAAACTGGCAGTTTAACGTGTAAACTAGTGTTTGGAAAGGCGACATTCAGTCTGCTTTAAAGGCGACATTCAGACTGCTTTGACCAATACACATACAGGACAATATGATTAAAAAAGTCATTATCCTAAGGTGCCTAGGATTTCAATTAAATTTATAACTACGTTGGAATCCTAGTCAACGAGACGAAATTCATTTCCGTCCCCATGCCTTTAGAGGTTTCTAGTGGCATTAGTGGCTTCGCTTTACTGTCAAACCTATTTACCACGACCACCAATGGACTGATGATAATTATTATTCCCGAAATTCGGGGTTCTTGCCATCCAAATTGTCTACCCAGTGAATAAAGCGTGATTTATCTCTTAGAAACAAGGAAGAACACACTGGAATGAGTTATGGATTTCGTGCTTAGTTATAGCACTTCCCGGCTGCTTATTATCTTGTAGCAGTAGTAGACAATTGCTCAAAACTCGTACTCGTGTGTCCTTTCATATTTTTAGATCTACTTTTCCAACTTTCCCTCAAACCAACGAGCATACCGTACTCCCACGACTAGAGCCAGCCCTCTCTTGAACAGTGCTCAATCTCAGATAGTACCCCAGTCTCTGAGAGCCAGTGAAAAGTCAAGCCCTCTCTCGAAAAGTGCCTCCCCCCTCCCCCCACACCCCACCCGAGCTTCTAACCAAATGCATGGGAAAGTTTGGTGTTCTTTTACTAATGTTCTTGCGTATGACATTGCACTGGTGGGTTTCAGGATCAAAATTCCAGTTCTTGCTGCCGTTTGTGTTAAATCATACTAGTTTACAGTAAACTGTAGGCTCTGCTTTGCTTTGTTTTATGCTGGATGATGCAACTGTACCGACATAGAACAAATAGTGCCCTCTCGTGAATATTGCTCTCTCTTGACTAGTGACCCTTGTTTGGTGGACATTGGTAAAAAAGTGCCCCAGGCGGACTAATCTCGCGAGTAGGGTAATCCAAAAAGGATCAATATTGTAGTTCTTCTTAAAGGGGCGCGCGTGTTGGCAGTATCCTTACAAATGATGTTTTACTTTATCTACTTTTCTTATTTTTGCTGCACGCTGAAGGTGTCCCGTTTGCCAGCCTGCTGCTCCTTCATTCTCTATTGCTAACTGACTGCAATGGTAAGAGATATCTTATTACTTCAGAGTATTAGGGGGCGTTTATTGTCTTCATCAACTGTTCGAACAAATTTTTAAAAGAGATTAGTTGAAGTTTCCCATTAGAAAGGTTTCTATCAATTTTGAAGATTTTCAGTGGAATTGTCATGGCGATGATGACGTCCGATCAGATTGACCATCTCCACGCACTACGTGACGTAGCTAGTCCAAAGTCTTCGGAACTAATCCACCTCTCCCATCGGACGAGGTTGCGGAGTTTCAAGGAGTTTCGAGGAGCTTCGTTTTTCTGAAGAGGCCAATAACGCCAACTCTTCAGAAAGACGAAACTCCTCGAAAAGTCAAAGAGTAACAATTCCAACGCGCCCTTAGTGTATTCAACTAGATCTGGCAGTGTCATTTCATGTGTTTGGAGTATCACTGGCGTTTTCTTCTCTGTGGTGTTTGCATGCTAGCATATGCAATGGCAAGTTTGCAGTGCAATACTATTGCTAAATTATTGGCATGTTTGTGTGTGCTGCTTTGAGTTAGGTTTTTTTTTTACTCTTTTTTGTTCCTATGTAGGTCAGGCCGTCGCTCTAACTGCTGGTGATACGGGACAAACATATCCATTCAACGTGACATTTGGTGATGGACAACCTACAGCCAATGTTACCAATGTTACCTTATACTTACCACACTGCTTTGTGTACAATGGATCAGGACCATGGATTCGACTAGAGAAGACTGATGGTAGTCTACTGTTGGCAGAGTTACGTAACTTCTCAGGATCTGCTTCTTTAAGTGTGGACAACGCAGCACATCCTATACTGACCACATCATACACTGGACTGTACCATTGCAGAACAGTGGATCACAACTCACCTCAAACATATCAACTCAACATTGTAGGTAAGTGCAAAAATGCAAATGGATCCCTTTTATGAGGAGAAATGAAGACCAAGGAACTACATGTACAAGTTACGCTGCCAGCTTTGCACGTTTAGCTTAGCAAAGTTACATGTTGTAGTAAACTTTGCACACCGATATGCAACATGCATATCAAAATGACTCTCTTTGCTGATTGAATACCACTGAAGTGATAGCGATCTACTAAGGCCGCGGTCACACATGTAACGTTTGCACCGCTTTTGCGGAGGCGAAAACCGTAACTACCAGAGACGCTTTGCGGAACACACGATGCAGCGGTCAAACATACATGTACTGTTCTGTGTGCTTTGGCGGAGGGGATACAAATGCAGCACGTACACATAATATAAAATTAATTTAGATGTTCTTGTCCGAGTTGAAGCGACCTTCACTTGCAGAGCTATCGTGCATCGCTGACAAGCTGCTGGCTTTCTCCTCTCAAGTACACTCGTTGCCTCGGGGCACATTCACTGCGCCCGAGTACAGTACAGGTGTATTTGAATATTAGTTTAGTTTACATCGATATCAAATTCAAATAGTTGTATAGCAGGGTGTCGTTGCCTCCTCCATGATCCATTGTCGACCCCTGTGCGCATGGGACCAAGTGAACACTGCGGTACAGTGTGTTGTAGCGAAAATTAAGCTATTGCGGATTATGTTATAGTGAGAAATTTTTTTACAGAAGTATTGCGGTTTCGGTGGGGACATTTGTGTTTTATACGTCATATTGAGGTATATTTTATCATGAGGGTCGATAGCGAGGTCTGATGTGTAGTAATATACAAGCTGTCTGGATGAGTGTGGGGGGGGGGGGCACGGCTGTTCACGCGCAGGCACTTATAAATATGGCGTCGTTCGGTGCGATTTATGTAACATTGTGCGAATAGTACAGATACGCGATGAGTTTGCGTTTTTGGAAGAAACTCATGTCGATCCTCGTGTGGTTCCACGATTTGGGACGCGAAACCAAGAGAAAGGTTTTGAAAGCAATCGAGCGAGATACTCGACATTTCGGCAATTTGAGAGAGAAAGAGGGTGGAAAGGTGACCTGGCCTGCCCAGTTAGCTGCCTTTCCGCTTCAAACTCGCTCAAGCTAATCCTGGCAGTCTGGAGATTGATCTCGCAAGTGATTGTCAGCCTCTGCATGGCCTGCTCGGGTGTACAAAAATCAAGTTAGACATTTCGTAATCGTTCAACGCACAATAGGGAAGATATCACAATTTTAAGCTCTCCTGGCGGGCTGCTGTCTTCTTCTACAATATCCCACATGCTGACTAAGCAATTCACAGCAGGAAGCAGCCTTCTACACTCAACAGCAACTAAAGGGACACACCATTTGTCTTCCAAATCAAGAGAAAGCAGGCTCCTGACTCATCGCGCATATTTAGAAGTCCACGCGCGTATTCTAACGACACTTGGGGAAGACAACCAGAGGATAGTCCTCTACCTGGGAAAATATCAATTTAAGCTGGGAAAAAAAATCGGGAAGGGCTTCTCGGAGACGAGTTTGTCAGCGACGACACAAGGAGTATTCCAGAACGAAGCCAAAGTCGCACGACACAGAACAAATGTTTCTTGAAGGAACGGCAGTCATGTGAGGTACGAGGGGAAAGCTTGAAACAGGACGCAGATGATCAGCGTGTTCCCTGGGCTGTCCGGGCTGACTAGTCTCCAAAATCCAAGGGAAACCATGGCGTTCTCGTGTTCTGACGATTTGAAAATTCAAATATTCTTGCGGCCATATTGTTAACCCTTTATGTACCAGCCATCTAATGTATGTAAAGGGCTATCGCAGCCAAAGAAGCAACCATGGTATCAAATCTAGACAACTTTTGTATATGCAAGTTGTGTTTTCCTGACTCCATATGTATCACTGCACCCAGGTAAGCATGGATATTGGTACAGCATGCAGTAGTATATGAAGGCCATAGGTGGAATACCAATGATACGTGCCAATTGTGCATATTTCTGACCAACCAGGGTATCACAAACAAATAGACTGAGAATTAGTTTGTGCTCGTGTACTGGGAACATAGGGACAAAACAACCTCATAAGCGTTGTCTCAGTGCATGAAGAGTAACAACATACCAGGGAAATGGTCATATTTTCACACATTTGAGGTAAAACAATTGGTTCAAAATTGCAAATTTTGAATTCTTGTCTCAGATTCGAAATCTATATTTTTCTTCATCTACTCACATCCAGCGTCATGTAAGTGAAAGAGAAGACAAGAAGCAGTCGCTGGCTGGTGAATTACGCCTGCCTTGACGATTTTAGGCCATCGCTGCCCTCCCTCTCGCTCCTGATTTGAGAGCGAATACTGCGATGGGATCAGCGATACAAATTTTCAATTTCGAGTCGCATTCCGCGATGATATCGCCACAGCCAATCTCTCCAATCGTCCACCACGTCTAGAAGACGTCGACATGACCTAGAACAAGCTACATCTTCGCTACAAGCAGAGAAACTGAGCGAGAACACGATCGAAACAGCGACAATTGTTTGCGCTGAAAAGCATACTTTTGAACGCGTTCGTTCTCCATACTTTCAAATGGCAACCTACCCATATCATACATCAAAATTTTCAGTGGGATCTCAGCTGTCAAGCGCAAAAAACCGCGGGTCGATCGGAGCTACGGCGGCGGGGAACGGCGCGCTTGATTGGAGTGCAGCGAACCGTACCATATGGTACGGTTCGAGATGGGGCTGGTACACAAAGGGTTAAGTGGCGTGAAACCGCACAAAAAAAAACAGCCGGGGGGGGGGGCAACTCCCTTCCAATACGCATGTTGTTGTTTACCATTGCAAGCCAGAGGTTTGTGCAGAAATCTGACGAGGGGCCCTGCCCCCAAGTGTTTTTTTTTTAAATTTCTGCTCATGGCTGCATATCCTCGCTTCCATTCAATGCACATACCGACATTTGTGCATTCTTCCATCACTACAGTCGTGGGGATTTGGTACAAAAGGTGTACTTCGAAGTACGTAGCCAATGAAAATCTACATATTTTTGCGAATCAACCTTTTTTCAACATCACGAAACAACTAACAAATTCACAAGAAAACAGTACGCCCACCGGCGCGCTGATTTTGGTCTGAGAATTTTCTATTACAGTACCGTGAAAATGTACGAGGAGCACTGAAAAATCAGCTACAGACGTACCTTGTTGCACCCTACTACTTTATCAAGGCATGAAAGTCGATTGTCCACTTTCAAACTGGGAACAAGACATACTAGTCAGGGGCGTCACCGGACCCCTTCACAGGGGGGGGGGGGGTGCACAGGAATTTTGCACAGGAAAAATTTTGCACAGGAAATTTGCCCGGCCATGATGTCATGGCATCGATAACAAACTCGAAAGCATAATTAATAGCTTTGGATCATATAATAATATAATAATAGCATTACTTAGGAAATTAGAGGCCACATGCCACCTACTGCTCTTTTCTCTCCGAAACTCAACACTTGCAAGCCAGATATGAAAGGAAGAAGAAGCCTCTAATTTCCTACAACTTTGAAATTCTCCATGAAGTCCAAATTTGAAATTGCAATTTGTATTTGCTCGCAGTGGACATAGTTTGATGCGCTCCCCATGATATCAAGCGAATGGCCGAGGGCCCTCTTGATTGGTGTGAGTTGCCAGTATGTTGCAAGCCAGATGTGGATCGATCGAAGAAGGATAGATTTACCATCACTGTGGATAAGAGTTATAATGTAGCTCAGTTGGTTAGAGCATTGCTCGTGAATAGCAAGGTCCCTGGTTCGACTCCCTGTGGTGTGACTGATGATTTTCTTTCTTTCTTTCATATCTGACTTGCAAGTGTTGAGTTTCGGAGAGAAAAGAGCAGTACGTGGCATGTGGCCTCTAATTTCCTAAAACTTTGAAACTCTCCATGAAGTCAAAATTTGAAATTGCAATAGATGTTGGGTTAGCTTTTGGGCTAACCCTAGTTAGCGATAAGACCGATGCGCTGCTCTCTATCACATGCTAGCTGCGACTGACCTAGCTTTACACGTGCACTCAACTGCTGCGCATGCGTGCCCAAATCGCCTTGGGTAGCTCTTGCTGCGCTGACTTTGGCTTGCGCTTTCCTTTGCAGTGTCACTGAGCAGCAACCGGAATTTGTTTGAGGAGAATAGAATTAATTATTCAGACTCCTTGTAGCCTCCTCGCAGCCGTTTACTGCACGACAAACATGTTGTCTACCTCTGAAGCACGTAGTATGAACGTGTCGGACTTGCGGGCCGAGCTGGAAGGCCGTGGGCTGAATTCGAGCGGAACAAAGCCCCAGCCTCTTGCCCGTTTGCTGCTCAGTATCCAGGACACGTCGAGCTCGGCGGCACGGGAACCTCGATCCCCGTCGGCCACGCCATCCCTGCGGCAGGAGCAGGAGCAGGAGCAAGAGCAGGATCTGGAGAGTGTTGCAGCAGCTTCTCCGACTCCAAAGATCCCGGACCGGAGCAGGAATGACGATTTGCGCCAGTTTGTGCGGCAGGAAGTACATTCCGCCATCACCGTTGCCTTGTCGGAGGCGATCGCTCCAATGCTGGCCACCGGCACCATCACTGCCCCTGGATCTGCTGGAACTCAGCCTTCGGCGGAGTCTTCCAACGCTGGTAATCTCTCCGTTCCCCAGACTATACGAGAGAAAATATTGAAGGGTGACTTTGTAGATTTCACCCAGCTGCTGCCCGATACTATCGCCACCTCGTATCCTGCCCCATGCCAGCTTCAGCTGCAGTTCAGCAGTGGCGGCCAGTCTCTGGAGGTGGTGGAAGGTGGAGCTGCCCAGCCCGTTCGTCGACGTGTCCACGACTTGCCGACATGGCTAGAGGCATGGACTCTCTTCATGAACGTCGTGTGTTCTGCCAACCCGTCCCGCCTGCAGGAGATGCTCTCATACCAAGCCACCATTGTTGCAGCCAACAGGCAATACTATCCGGAGGCTTGGCTGTCGTACGACACCCAGTTTCGCTCTGCCA